TGTATTTTTAAATCTTTGGATATACCTATGTAATTACCCAAAAATAGGCCTAGAAGTCCGATGCGCAAAAAGTGCAAATACAGCCCAGTATTTCTCCTCTCTCGTCCTAATATCGAAAGAAATCCAAATGAAACTTCAAACTCCCTCATTTTAGAATATCCTAAGCCTCCTGTCACTCTCCTAGATAGGCCTACGAAATATGCAGGTGATATTCGAAAGTCGCGCCTAATGAGCAATGCATTGTGGGCAAAATCGTTAGGCTTATGTGCGCAGTTGGCTATACGGAGGACCATTTTTTTGTGTTATTAATGTCTAACTTACGGGGTTTTGCGTTGTTTGCCGTGCCTGCTGCTGCATTCACCAGCATCTGAAACAGGGAGGTGAGGATGACGCAATTGCTTAGCTTAGGGATAAAATGTTGCGAGGCGTTAGGCTTAAAAATTAGGGAACGAGGGAGCTTTAGGCTTAAGGACGTCTCCCTCGTAAACATTCATAACAACAACCACCCAAGTGACAATCATTCATTATTGCAGCTCTGTGTATTTGCTTTCATCATGGTTTAGAGAAAAGGCGACACGGTTTGGAAGGAAAGGTAGGTCTATCGCGCCGGGAGCGAGGAAAAGAAGCGAGGGTTGCAGGGATAATGTAGGCCTACTGGGTGGGTCTTGGCGGCCATGATGGCGCTGTTGCTAGGCTCAGTAGGCCTATGAGCGAGCCTACACAACATTACCCCTTGCAGGCCACATTGCCAGCCTACCTGCCTGGCTCTTGCACTCTGACAGATGCTCAAAAAGGCTCATGTAAGTTTTGAAAATAGGTAGGCCTATCGCAAATGGTGTTTTTGGAGGAATGACATAATTTGACCTTGAGGTTAGAAATATTTTTCATTGACAGTGCATTCTTTTGACTATTCCATGCATTTGCATGATAAGTAGGTAGAGAAAAATGTATTGGCAGGTCACTAATTATGATACGTATGCACCAGGAACGAGATTCATCTAATTCCTCAATGAAGATAATTTCTCTTTCAGGGATAGAAAGTTCACAGCTGAGGACAGAGGAGAAAATTCAGAAAATTACAATTTTGCAAATGTCTATAGGGTTCTATAATATGGTTATAAGCTTAATATCAGTTTATTATTTACAGAATAAGAAATTTACTGAAATGAATTTACTTCTTTGCACTGAACGTTGTTTTGCTTAATTTAACTTATATGTCATGCATTAATAATCATTTGACATCCATATTTAAATAAAATGCTTTAGTAATGGGAATTTGAATTTGAGTTATTCATAAAGTTAGTTTTGGTAATTGAATTTATAAACTTCATTTTGACAGAAGTCCGTTTCCTTAACTTTCTGTTTTAACACGCTAACATTACATAGAGTTTTGCAACTTGAAATTGATCCATCAATTTTATTAGTAGGAATCGCTTCCCTTTTATTACTATTTGCGTTATTTTAAAATTGCATTGGATATTAATATTGAGATGATATTGATAGCAGAAAAGTTAGAATTTTGATTTGATTTTTTCAGATTTTACTTTTGAAATTTTAAATTAAGATCTATATTTCTTGAATAGAAAAGGCATTCTTGTTACATGGTAAATGTTTTATAATTTTCAATTAATCTAGCATTTCTGTAACAAGTATTTCTGAATTTTTAAAACTAATTTTTGATTTAAGAGGAATGCCGAAATGGATTTTAGAATATTAATTTCATTTGATTCAGGGATTCTAATTCACGTATGTAGTATCTTGGCCAGTGTTTTATATATGGTGCTTCTTATTAATTTAATATTCATTTTGTATGATAAGGCTGTATAGCTTCAGTGAATTTTATAAAATAATTTCAAAAGGAGTAAATTATTAATGACTCTTCAATTATACTTTATATGTATGATGCAGAAATTTATATATAAAAGTCATTACATCCTTATGTTATAAGGCTGATTACTGTAAGAGAGTAAATAATTTCATTCTTACTGTTGCATTAATACTATATTTCTTTTTATTTAAAGATCACATCAGATTTCAAAGCTCGTTTGACCTGAGGCAGCTTTATTCTATTATTATTTGAGTGAGAGCTGTTCATTTAAAGGGTTGAATATGAGGCAACAATTATACTATAAGAATATAATTTGTGTCTTTGATATAAGGGAATTACTGCTTTGATAAAGCTTTTATTTTTTTCATACTTGCCATCAGTATTTTAAGGCCTAGTAATGATAACACTGGTTGTCATTATAGAATTAATGAAATATTTTATCCCACAAACTAAAGTATGTGAACTTGATAGTATTTTTTTTATGCTGAATTCAAATGTTTTCAGTCTTTTTTTCTATTAGGCATAGTTTCTCTGTGATAACATATTTTAATCATACAATAATTATATTTCATGAATTCATAAATTAGGCTGATGTTACAGGCCTTAAAACTATGGTGGAGAAGTTCAGTTTGCTTTTTTGACAAGTTTAAATCACAGACAAGATCGTTTAGATCTCTCTGACTCAACAAATGTGGTTCACTTGAAGAACATTTAGGCTCAAATGTTTGGTCCTTGTCTTCAATTTCTATTTCCACAAACTCGTCACTTGACTCATTGGGACTTGATGTTAATTTTAAGAGTTAGGTACTTGCAAGTCTTTGCCATGAAGTACTGGTTTCATAGCAGATGGGAAATTGGGATATTTTACAGTATGCTTGGATTTTGATGTTATATCATTCATATTGGTCATACAGAAGTAGCAATGTGAAGTATGAATTTTGGGCACTATTTAACCCCTTGGTGCCGGGTGATGCCGATCGGCGTGTATACAAAGAGCTCGAAAGCTGGCGTGCAGCCGAACGAGCCGGCGGCGAGCCAGTGATTCGGGCTGATGTCCCCTACTCACGCCGCCTTTGTTTGTTTAAGCGTAGAGTTTTTTTTTTTCTTTTGTACACCCGGCGCCATTGGGTTAAATTATAGGGTAAACAAAATATGTATGTTGTTGACCTTGTGCACATGCAATGAAAAGCCTGAAACAGGTTATGCAACACACTCAAGGGCCCCAATTTTAATTGTGGTCACCCACTTTACAGCCAAAACAAATGCTCGTAGCATTTCTAATCAGTGGTGTGATACCTAAACCTCTAAAAAACTCAAAGTATCCAGCTTGTCTTTTTTTCCCATTTACAGAAAAGGCATGTGTTTTTCAGTAAACCATATTTGACCCACCAGAAAATCTCTTCAATCTCAAACTGATACTATTACCTCTTGCATTTGAATGAAAATTGGAATTGATTGCCAGTGAATATGTAAATGGAATATATTGAATTGTTTTTCATCCTAAAACAGTAAGATGTGTATTCAGGTGCACTTATCATCATCCAGATGTATGAATAGTAAAATGCCAATGATATACCAGGAGGTATATCATAACCTTTTAAATGTGGGTGACAGGAATGCTTCGTAATGAAATAAAATTGGTTAAAGGTTAGGTGATGAGCTTCTTGTCATGGAAAAATCCAGGCCCTCAGCTTGGATGGTAGGAATGTCTTTTTGTGAGATATTGGTACAAAGTGGTAGGTGATGGAGACATCTCAGCATGAGTGCTCTACAAGTCCCACACTCAGGAGAGTCATCACATAAGGGAGCATAATGCCTTGATTTTGGTCTACATTTTAGCTGTAATGTACCTGTTTGCAACAAGTTACTAGTATGATGCATAGATGGAGCATGTAGGAGGTGGAAAAGATTTAGAATTTGACTAGATGAAATATGCTATTCAACACCAAAATTACTATTTTAGTCGCTATGTTATATTTGCAAGAAGATAGATAGATAGATAGATAGATAGATAGATAGATAGATAGATAGATAGATAGATAGATAGATAGATAGATAGATAGATAGATAGATAGATAGATAGATAGATAGATAGATAGATAGATAGATAGATAGATAGATAGATAGATAGATAGATAGATAGATAGATAGATAGATAGATAGATAGATAGATAGATAGATAGATAGATAGATAGATAGATAGATAGATAGATAGATAGATAGATAGATAGATAGATAGATAGATAGATAGATAGATAGATAGATAGATAGATAGATAGATAGATAGATAGATAGATAGATAGATAGATAGATAGATAGATAGATAGATAGATAGATAGATAGATAGATAGATAGATAGATAGATAGATAGATAGATAGATAGATAGATAGATAGATAGATAGATAGATAGATAGATAGATAGATAGATAGATAGATAGATAGATAGATAGATAGATAGATAGATAGATAGATAGATAGATAGATAGATAGATAGATAGATAGATAGATAGATAGATAGATAGATAGATAGATAGATAGATAGATAGATAGATAGATAGATAGATAGATAGATAGATAGATAGATAGATAGATAGATAGATAGATAGATAGATAGATAGATAGATAGATAGATAGATAGATAGATAGATAGATAGATAGATAGATAGATAGATAGATAGATAGATAGATAGATAGATAGATAGATAGATAGATAGATAGATAGATAGATAGATAGATAGATAGATAGATAGATAGATAGATAGATAGATAGATAGATAGATAGATAGATAGATAGATAGATAGATAGATAGATAGATAGATAGATAGATAGATAGATAGATAGATAGATAGATAGATAGATAGATAGATAGATAGATAGATAGATAGATAGATAGATAGATAGATAGATAGATAGATAGATAGATAGATAGATAGATAGATAGATAGATAGATAGATAGATAGATAGATAGATAGATAGATAGATAGATAGATAGATAGATAGATAGATAGATAGATAGATAGATAGATAGATAGATAGATAGATAGATAGATAGATAGATAGATAGATAGATAGATAGATAGATAGATAGATAGATAGATAGATAGATAGATAGATAGATAGATAGATAGATAGATAGATAGATAGATAGATAGATAGATAGATAGATAGATAGATAGATAGATAGATAGATAGATAGATAGATAGATAGATAGATAGATAGATAGATAGATAGATAGATAGATAGATAGATAGATAGATAGATAGATAGATAGATAGATAGATAGATAGATAGATAGATAGATAGATAGATAGATAGATAGATAGATAGATAGATAGATAGATAGATAGATAGATAGATAGATAGATAGATAGATAGATAGATAGATAGATAGATAGATAGATAGATAGATAGATAGATAGATAGATAGATAGATAGATAGATAGATAGATAGATAGATAGATAGATAGATAGATAGATAGATAGATAGATAGATAGATAGATAGATAGATAGATAGATAGATAGATAGATAGATAGATAGATAGATAGATAGATAGATAGATAGATAGATAGATAGATAGATAGATAGATAGATAGATAGATAGATAGATAGATAGATAGATAGATAGATAGATAGATAGATAGATAGATAGATAGATAGATAGATAGATAGATAGATAGATAGATAGATAGATAGATAGATAGATAGATAGATAGATAGATAGATAGATAGATAGATAGATAGATAGATAGATAGATAGATAGATAGATAGATAGATAGATAGATAGATAGATAGATAGATAGATAGATAGATAGATAGATAGATAGATAGATAGATAGATAGATAGATAGATAGATAGATAGATAGATAGATAGATAGATAGATAGATAGATAGATAGATAGATAGATAGATAGATAGATAGATAGATAGATAGATAGATAGATAGATAGATAGATAGATAGATAGATAGATAGATAGATAGATAGATAGATAGATAGATAGATAGATAGATAGATAGATAGATAGATAGATAGATAGATAGATAGATAGATAGATAGATAGATAGATAGATAGATAGATAGATAGATAGATAGATAGATAGATAGATAGATAGATAGATAGATAGATAGATAGATAGATAGATAGATAGATAGATAGATAGATAGATAGATAGATAGATAGATAGATAGATAGATAGATAGATAGATAGATAGATAGATAGATAGATAGATAGATAGATAGATAGATAGATAGATAGATAGATAGATAGATAGATAGATAGATAGATAGATAGATAGATAGATAGATAGATAGATAGATAGATAGATAGATAGATAGATAGATAGATAGATAGATAGATAGATAGATAGATAGATAGATAGATAGATAGATAGATAGATAGATAGATAGATAGATAGATAGATAGATAGATAGATGGCTAGATGAAATATGCTATTCAACACCAAAATTACTACTTTAGTCACTATGTTATATTTGCAAGAAGATAGAGGCAGGGAAACACATGTGACTGGTTCATACAGAAGAGGGCCTACAAGTGGAGTGAGGGTAGGGTTATGGCTGTAGGAAAGTGTCAAATTCATTCATAACCAATACCAAAACGAAAAAAAATGCAAAAAATCCCACCAGTTTTTGACAGGCCCTCCAAGATACTGGTGAATAGGACTGCACATTTATTTCAGTTAGCCCTGGTCATGGTAAATAACATGTTTAAGGTTGAAAGGCTATGTAGAATAACATTGTTAGTTATGAAATATAATAGTTAACCCCTTCCTGACGGGTCACACCCTGAGGCGTCATAACAAACTGCTCGATCTGTGGCACATGGCTGTATGCCACAGTGATGTGCCATTGTGGTCCGTTGCCAATTTCTTCACCTGTCATCAAGGGGTTAAAAACAGTAAAGAGATGGGTAAAGGTCATTTATGGTCATATGGTTAATGCCACTAATACTGTGGCCTCTAAGTTACACACGCTAGCAAACCTTCTCCATGTATATGCTGACAGGATGATTTATTAGACCTCTTAGGAGATTCTTTATTACATCAGAAACCATTCCAAATTCTTTCTTACTGAATACAAGAGGTCAAGAATTTTGACTTGTGCTAGAGACAGAAGTAAAGAAATGGGTCATATATTGCATTTTTTACATGCTTATGTATACTTGCAGACTATAGTGACCGGAATTTGCTGTAGATCTAAATCTAAGCTATTACTTTGTTAAAACTTTACCCACCAATATGGAAATGAGATTGCAAACTGTTCACATCTACTTTTCCTCATTTGCCAATGCTCTCTAATTTGGCTCTCTGATGGAGTAAATTGAGAATGGAGTTTGCTGGGACGTTAACTGTTCTGCTCCAGATTGTTTAAAAGACACGCATTGCTTGTGTACGGGGCACTTTCTCTGTTGCACACCCCTATGAGAGAGTGAGAGATAGATAGATAGATAGATAGATAGTTAGATAGTTAGATAGATAGATAGATAGATAGATAGATAGATAGATAGATAGATAGATAGATAGATAGATAGATAGATAGATAGATAGATAGATAGATAGATAGATTGATTGATTGATTTGCAATGATTGTCAAATATACAATTGTTCAAAGTTATATGGAGTAAAATGTTTGAGAAATGAAGGAGGGGCTAGAGGAGGGTAGGAGCCCAAGGAATGAACTAGGGATGGGGTAGTGTACCCCCTATACAGTCACCCCATACCTCTCCCAGGAGGAGGGGTATGGGGCAAAGGATAGGGGGATAGGGGGTTATGGAGGACAAAGGTAGGACCACAGAGGTGGGATCTGTAATGTAGACTCATTTTAATTTTAGGAAGAGGGTGGGGCATAGTCTTTCTTCTTTGTATGATTAGTGGGAAGAGGGATAGTGGGTGGAGCTATAGAATCTCTTGGGCAATATACGGAGTCAAAAAAATAGAGCCAGAACAGAATACAGTATCACTCAGCAGCAACTAAAATAAAATGGAATTATGACACCAATGTTGGCATCACACCGGCGTTTCATAATGCTGAAATCGACGTCACCGTATAAAGTGGGTTAAGGGATGGCCTCATGTGATAGGTGCCTAAAGCTTTATTTTTAGTCTTACCTTGAGTTTGAAGAGAAGGTGTGATATATTGTAATCTATTGTAATATATTTATGATATCCAATTTTCTATATTATGCCCTGTGCAGCTGATTACAGTGGGCAGATATAGGATGTATGAAAATTGTTTCCTCCCTGTAGCCAGCACTCTTTCAGTCATGGCTCACGGATGAACCATCTGTGAGTCCTCAGTCATGGCTCACGGATGGTAGTTTCCAATCGTTGCTGGAAATAATGAAAAAATCTCTTTCTAAATGGGCACTGAGCTTAATCACCCTCCAAAGGTTTTGTGTACTAGCGTACTTGCCCTCCATTAACCCAATGGCGACGGGTGAAGAAAATGGAAAAAACTCCCGCGCTCAAAGTAGGCGCTCCACCATTGTTTGCCAGAGCGTGGATTTTTTTGTTTTGTTTTCATCACCCGTCACTATTGGGATAAATATGTATGTATATGTATGTGTGTATATATATGTATATTATATGTATGCATTTATATATGTACTTATATAAAGTTTCAATATAAAACTCTCAAAAAGTTTTGATGCTTTTAGGAATGGCAACTGAGATGAAGTTTTCAATGTTTCACATTTTTTACCCTCAACTACCTTCCCTTTTCACAGGTGTGGTCATGGAGGCATTGTCACCCTCAACTACCTTCCCTTTTCACAGGTGTGGTCATGGAGGCATTGCCGGATGGGGGGGTGCTGGAGGGAGAATCACAAATAATTGGGCTAATAGTAAGTATTTTTTTTTTTTGTGAAATTTGTTTGTTGCATCTTGTTTGAAAAATATCAGTAAGTTCTTGTTTCCCTGTGAGTGTCATTGTTGATTTAGTACATTTTCTTCTAGGTATTGACATTATGTTCCAAAATTAGAAATGAATGTTCTGTAATGATAATGTTTCCTCCTTCCTCCTTCCCCTTCTTTCCCTGCCACCCAAAAGGGTCATGATGACCTTGGGATGGTTGAGGCATCGATGTTACAGAGTGACCCCAGTGTGATGATGGACTTCGTAGGGGAGGATGACGAAGCATTATCCACGGCGTTCTCCAACACCTTCACCAACGCCTCCTCCACCACAACTCCCTCCTCGTCACGGACTCCGGTGTCTTCAGCATCATCCTTCTCCACGACGTCTTCCTATTCCTCGTCGCCTTCCTTCTCCTCGTCTACCTCTTCCGCCCCCTTCAACACCCACGCCTCCAGTCAGGGGGACGGCAGAGGCGGGGGAGTGTTGGAGCTAACGGGCCACCAGAACCCACTCCCGTCGCCCTTGCTGCTTACACACCACCAGCACCCTATTCATCCCTCGCAGCACCTCCATTCGCCACACCCCATCCTGCACCACAGCCATCACCAGCACCAACGCAGCCAACCTCCACAGTCCAGCCAGCAACAGCACGTGCCACAAAATTACTACCACCATGAACCAGTAAGTCCTTGGAAATGAGAATCTGCAATTTATAGTCAGGATAAATGATAATTGAGTTCAGGAAGAGAAACTATACTGTTAAATAAGGCTGAAATTTATTTAGTGAGTTGTAGGTTAATTTCTGTAATAAGATTAGTTACAATTCTTGTGAAATCCATAGGAATGTTATAAATTTTCTTGTGTATTCTGTTTCAGGTTCCTTTATCCCCTGGAAGACCACAGGGTGGAGGCTATTCCATTGGAGGAGGCTTCACACCTTATATGTCTTCGTCGCAGCTTCCTCCGCCTCATCCTACCTCTATGCATGAAGCTCACCACCAGTTCCTACCGTCTGTTAAATCAGAGGCTTCTGGGGGAGAGTCCTATAACCGTAGCCTGAAACCTGAACCTCAAGATGACTTCCTAGATCCAATGGACTCGCACCTAGAGCCTTCACCCACCCCAGCGCCTTCTTCTGCCATATCATATAATTCGCATCCTTCCACTTCCATTATAGGGAGAGGGATTGCAATTCCTTATTCTCACCATGGCGCTCCTCCTACCGCTTCTCCAAGCACTATGCCGGCTATGGAGACCAATGGTGCGCCCTCGCCAGCATCTCAGTATATGTATCCCTCGCACTCCAACACTCCATACCTCCTAGAACTTGCTCCTTTACCTTCACGGCAACAGCAACAGCAGCAACAACAGCAACAACAACAACAGCAGCAACAACAGCAGCAACAACAGCAGCAGCAGCAGCAACATCAACAGCAACACCAACCACAACAGCAACACCAACCGCAGCAGCAACAGCACCAACAGCAGCAGCATAATCAGCAGCAAGGCCCACCAGTGACTCACACAAATGGTGTTGCAGGCTATGCTGGAAGCTTGTCCGATGGGAGATCTTTAGGCCTTGGATATTATGAACCCTCGCAATTAACTCAGGAAGATGTGCGGTTAGTCTCTTCACAGCCAACTCACATGCTATATGTGCCAGCCAACCAGCATAATATTAAAGGCAGGGGAAAGGTAAGTTCTGTCTTAATTCATGTGTTCGTTGTGGGATATATATCATGGGTTGTATCACTGACAGGTATACATATATATGAGCTTCATCCAGTTTGGTTATTTTTAGTTAATCTCTTGGATCTGGATGGTACACTACCCAAAGTGACTCGGAATATAGACATAAGGCTTACTTGAGTGGCCACTCTGACAGATGTGTAGCTTGTAGGCCGGGTGCATTAGAACATTTGTGTGCAGTGATGAGACTCTGTGCCTCCCCTTAACAATGCTATTTTCTCTTTTTCTGCATAATTGCTTTTAGCTTTTTTGCCACATTGATTTACTTTATCCAGATGGTAAAAGACAGTTTTCCTTGCACAGACTCCAAAATATCTCTCTAAGTAGTTCATAGTATAATAATATTCAATTTGCTGTAATACAATCTGTGCTGCTGGTCACAGCAGGCATGAATAGGATCCAAATTTTCCCATGATGGCATGTTAATGTCACCTCCCTCAGGCCAGATTTCATTCATAACATGATTGTCACATCATCCAGATCATCGGGGTTAACATGATTAGAAAGGAGTTAAATATTGAGGTCTTGACATTTTTGTGCTAAATTTGATACAAAATTTTAAAATTTTATTAAATTCTGCAATCAATAACTCTTGACCTGTTTTTCAGATGAACCGGAAAAAGTCATCTCCATCACCATTACTAGATGGTGAAGACAATTTATTAGGGAACAAGCAGCTTGGAGAAGAAAACAATGACTCTGATGAAGATAACCTTGTGATTGATACAAGGTAAAGACTGGATTCAGTTGTTTTGATGTGTGTCCATAAAATTAGATTTTATAGTAAATGATTTTCTGAAGTTATCAAAGATTTATTACAATATTCTCAAAGATATTAATGTGCACAAAATTTTTTTTATGGTGAGAATAAGAAGTATATCATAAATACTCCACTTAAGCAATGGATTAGCTTACATAACGGTTGCAAAAAACCTGACTTAATTTTCTCCAATATAGGTATTGAAAATTTGGGTATTCATGGAATGTCAAATGAAACTATTCTTTAATGTGCAATTTTCTGATTCCAAGAATACTTGAGTAAATAAATTAAGTTTTGTGAATTTAATCCATTGGCCATTCTTAGATGTATTAGTATTTATTTAATGCTGAGCCATCAAGGAGTCAGTTAGTAGGACCTATATGACCTCAGCTGATTTCCCATTCCTTGAGTTTCTAGGAAATATTTTTTTTCTAAGTTAGGAATTGATGCTATAATTAACTTAATAATTATTATGGTGTTATAAGGACTAGTCATTGACTCCTTGGAGGTTAACCCAATGCCGACGAGAATGACATGTATGGGTATGCTATGCCCACTGCTAGGTTACTTGTTTGATTGTTTTTGCACATAGAAGGCTACACTTGTACTAAGTCACCAATTACGAGTACTGCCTGTCTTGCCTTTTAACCCTTTTCTTTGATTTTTCGAAAATATTTTATGTCATCTTATTTTGCTGATACTAATGTTTATAACATTATAGTAAATATAATGTTTATAATAAAAATAACACAATTGATATTCATAACACTAGTAAAAAATACATTTTTCCTGACAATTCAAATCAGGTAAGGTCACAGGGTCTACTAATTGACTCCTTTGTGGCTAAGCAGTAGCAGAGCCATCTATGTGCAGAGACATTTCACAAAAAATATAAAAAATGAGCACAGCATTTCCCCCATTTTTTATTAATTTTCCCTGGCGGATATGGGATGTATATCATGCCATTCCAAAACTTTGGACTAAAATATATGAGTATATGACAGTATATATTTGATCAATTGTATCATATTACTTCAGAAGAAAATCAGAATAAAGACACAGTTCATCATTAATATCTCTTGCATATGCCAACAGCAGCGTCTCAGGGGAAGGGTTCGAGTGTGGAGAATGTGGCTTGGTGTGTCGGACCAGAGGAGGACTCCGCAAGCATCTCACAACAGAGCACCTGCCAGATGAGCCAGAACCTGCGGAGACCATCCCCAAGCAGTATTCATGCACGATGCCCCTGTGTCACTTTAGCACCACGAAGAGGGATGCGTATGACCTCCATATAGCCAGCCATATTGCTGATGGCTGGACACCAACAGGAAAGAAGAGGCACAACAAGAATCCACTGCAGAGACACAGGTTAGCTATATGGGCATTTTAGAAAAATATGTTCAGTTATTAACCCATTACCGATGGGTGATTTCCTGATATGCAAGCCCTCTCTCCCAGGCTGTGTTCATGGTGGCCTGGGCCCCACTGCTGGGGGCTAGTGTTGTCACCTTAGTGTTCATGGCATGATCATACATGTCCCTGGAAAACAGTATTGGTGCACCATGGCATGTATGCTCTTGCCACCTGGAATATTGTCCAGGCATGCTATGGCATGTATGTACGTGCCAGCTGGAGGCTAAGGGTTAAAGCAATGATTAGATAGATGAGAAGATACATACATACATACATACATACATACATACATACATACATACATACATACATACATACATACATACATACATACATACATACATACATACATATATATACATGTATGTATATTATATATATATTTATATATATACTTAAATTTATACACCCTTCTCTATGAACAGCCCCAGTTTGAAGCATGGGAAATATCCAATGGCTCTAGTCAATTCAGTTCTCCCTTTATTTATATCTATATGGCTATAATTCTCAGTACTGAGCTGATATGTCTATATTCATGCTATGATTATGTCATTACATTAGATTTATACTGGCACTGGATTATTATTTTTTTTTTTAAAAAATATCTCTTTCAATATGCCAACAAGAAGCAGCGTCTCAGGGGGAAGGGTTCGAGTGTGGAGAATGTGGCTTGGTGTGTCGGACCAGAGGAGGACTCCGCAAGCACCTCACAACAGAGCACCTGCCAGATGAGCCAGAACCTGCGGAGACCATCCCCAAGCAGTATTCATGCACGATGCCCCTGTGTCACTTCAGCACCACGAAGAGGGATGCGTATGACCTCCATATAGCCAGCCATATTGCTGATGGCTGGACACCAACAGGAAAGAAGAGGCACAACAAGAATCCACTGCAGAGACACAGGTTAGCTATATGTTCAGTTATTAACCCATTACCGATGGGTGATTTCCTGATATGCAAGCCCTCTCTCCCAGGCTGTGTTCATGGTGGCCTGGGCCCCACTGCTGGGGGCTAGTGTTGTCACCTTAGTGTTCATGGCATGATCATACATGTCCCTGGAAAACAGTATTGGTGCACCATGGCATGTATGCTCTTGCCACCTGGAATATTGTCCAGGCATGCTATAGCATGTATGTACATGCCAGCTGGAGGCTAAGGGTTAAAGCATTGATTAGATAGATGAGAAGATACATACATACATACATACATACATACATACATACATACATACATACATACATACATACATACATACATACATACATACATATATATACATGTATGTATATTATATATATATTTATATATATACTTAAATTTATACACCCTTCTCTATGAACAGCCCCAGTTTGAAGCATGGGAAATATCCAATGGCTCTAGTCAATTCAGTTCTCCCTTTATTTATATCTATATGGCTATAATTCTCAGTACTGAGCTGATATGTCTATATTCATGCTATGATTATGTCATTACATTAGATTTATACTGGCACTGGATTATTATTTTTTTGTTCAGTTTAGTTTTCTTTGTGATTTAATGCAACTATGAAATGTCTTGGACCGAACTATTATTTTTTTACCCACTTTTAGCTGTGCACGCCTATATCTGTCATAAAAAACACTTTGTCATGTTGGGTACTATAGATGTCATGCCTCCCTAAAGCAAGTCAAGCAGGAAGTTCCCCTATATGCAGCGAATTCCCTGGACTAAAGGCTAGATGGTTGTCAGAAGTCACTGGAATGAGTGACACACAAATTCTGTCACTGTCATTTTAGGATTAATAATTAATAAAAAGGGTTTTGAAAAGGGAAGTTTTACAAAAAAGTTTATCCGTTGAAAACAACAATTCTGATGGTCATACTAATAGTTTTGTTTTACAGTACTATTAATAAGCGTTTCTATATAACATCATATTTTGTAAAATAAAATATACATTTATAGAATGTATCGAATCTTCAGATCATAGTTTCTTGAATTAGCCTTTAGTATCATCCAACATCTTCAATTTTGATGTGCCTCAATATTGGTCATTTTAACCCCTTGATGATGGGTTAAGAAAACTAAAAAAAAACAAAAAAACTACGCTCTGGAGATCAATGGCAGTGCGCCGACTTTGAGCGCAGGAGTTTGGTACATCAAGCCGAATCACCGGCTAGCTGCCGTAGTGTACAGCCACATGCCACGGATCAAGCGTGACCCGTCGAGAAGGGGTTAATTCGAACGAGCATTAGTGTATGAAAGATGTGTTGATGGATGATTTCTTTCTCTGTAAATGAAACTTTTGTGTAGATTTGAAGTAGTTGTAGAATATTTTTCACATTCTTTTCTAACTGTAAACAGTATGGCAGACCTTTAAAAAAAAGGCTAAA